TTTTTTTTTAATCCCCCCCCCCCCCCCCGTTCCCGGTGAAAGCGATACTTGTCTAAAGGAGAAGAGGAGGAAGCACGAACAAAATAAGAGAAATAAAAGGGAAAAAGGAAATAATCGCGTCGCTCGACATCGCGCCCGCAAAACACGTTTTTCGCTTGTTTAGCAGAGTACAATGCCATTTATTTTTGTAATACGTTTACGTAGTATAGTTGTTATTTTTATAGAGCTTTACCGTGCTACTGTAATGGAGTCTTTATAGGCCTGCGTAGGGTAGACGTTAACACGTTATACGTTATAACGAGATATACATATATAGCGTCGGGGTGCCATGTTGAGGTCGCATAATTCTCGATGAAGGAACGTCGTAACGCAGTGACGTTCATAACGGCTGAGATACACACACGCGAAAGAGAGAGAGAGAGAGAGAGAGAGAGAGAGAGAGAGAGAGAGAGAGAGAGAGAAAGAGAGAGAGAGAGAGAGAGCTAAAATTGAAAAAAATATTCATACGAAACAATAAAACGAGAGAGACAAACATTACGCATAAGGAGGACCTAGGACACGGGAAACACAGAACACAGACAGGAAATAATAATAATAAGTAATGTAAACCTACGTTACTATAATATGTAACGACATGAAACGAGCCACGAATAATCGGGATTTACCCATAACCGAGCATGTAATAGCAGTAATGAACACGTTAGTACTCTATTAAAGGGAAAAAAAAAAAATACGGCGAGTAAGTCGAAAATAATAACGACAATGAATAAAAAGTAGTTAGATAGGTATATATATATATATATAAAGGTCACGCGATGTGTATGTACCTATATATATATTAAGGAAGCGCGAAGTACACTTTTGTAATAGCAGTTTAAAAGAAAAGAAAAAAAAATGTAATGAAGCGACGCTTGACATAGAATTCACAGACATATCCTGGCTAACACATCCTTTACGTACATACTGCATACCTAGTTATATACATGTTATACATAGGTATTTTATGTGTAAACGATTAATATTAAAAACAAATATTATTACTGAGACTATAGGTACATATTATAACGATGGTACAACTAAGGCAAGTATGTACTGTACATAGCTGTCACTTATACAAACCCTTATCCGGTTGTCTGAACGCTCCCAACTCCTCCCCCTCTCCCCCCCCCCC